CCCACACCCCACACACCCCACACCCACACCCACACCCACACCCACACCCACCCACATCCCACACCCACACCCACACCCCACACCCACACCCACACCCTGCTGTGCTCTATCCAACAGCGAAAACCGCAGATCTCTATCATTTTTCTTTCACACGTTATAAGAATTCTGCCCAACCACCTTATTTTCAAAAGTGGATAATATATATATATATATCACTCTTTGGTTGAAGATTTTTTTGTCCTCCTATATAAAGTTAAAGGGGTCCAAAACTTGGTTTTTTGTTGGTTTTTTGAGTATTTGACTCTGAAACTAACCAGAAATCGACTTGAAACTGCTTTTTTAATGTGTTTCTGAGTGGAAAAACAATTTCACATATCGCTAAATGTATTTCAGACTTTCTAATCGCATCACTAGATCGCTGGGGATCGGTAACTGAAAATAGGCCTTTGCCAGCGTCATACAACAAATCAGATTTTTCTCTACGAAAATTTCATTTTTTTCAATTTTAACCTCAAATTCGGAATCAGCATCAAATTTCGCGTCTAATGATACTGAATTTATTAAAATTCGGAAAAAAAATTTTTCGATGGTCTTGAGGTTCCCTGCAGGTGCCTAATGGACCGTAAGAAATGAAAGTTATTTTTGCACGAAAAAAAATACACTATTCTACTCAGAATTTGATGCTGATTCAGAATATGTAACTCTTTTTGAAAAATATTTTGAGCAAAGAAATGGCCTTATCGATACTTGTCCTTTCCGTGAAGGTCGTTGATGCAGTTCATATCCGTTGACATGGATTGTGTTACCTTACCAGTGAGTGGAATCCCATTTGTATTATTCAGTATGAACAGAGTTTCTCTGTGCGCGCGTCTTCTTTATAGTATATTTTCTATCTAAACGTTTTATTATGCTTTCTCATTAAAACCAATTACGATTTGAGTTTCTCATTTATTCTATCGAGATTGTTTTGCCACTTTTGTAAATTGGGGTGATTTGATTGAAATGAAAGTTGTCCAATGTCCACAGCACGTTGATAAAACAAACATGCTTTCGAATAGTCTCTCATGTTCTCATACACCGAACCAATGCTATTGAAGGTAGAAGCCAAATTAGGATGATTCGGAGGAAGTAATTGTTGTCGAATTGCCAGAGTTTTTTCGTAAGACAGAAGTGCTTTCAAGTGATCACCCACGTTGGAATACACATTACCGATGTTGTTGTGAGAAGCAGCCAAATCAAGATGACACGCAGGAAGTGAATGTTGTTGAATTGCCAGAGATTTTTCGTAAGACGAAAGGGCTTTCCAGTTATCACTCATGATGTAACACACATTACCTATGTTGTTGTAGGAAGCAGCTAAATCAAGATGATTTGGAGGAAGTGATTGTTGTTGAATTGCAAGAGATTTTTCGTGAGATAAAAGTGCTTTCGAGTAATCACCCATGTGAAAATACACATTACCGATGTTGCCGTAGGAAGCGGCCAAATTAGGATGATTAGAAGGAAGTGATTGTTGCCGAATTGCTAGAGATTTTTCGTAAGACGGCAGTGCTTTAGAATAATCACCCGTGAGGCAATACGCATTACCAATGTTGCTGTAAGAAGTAGCTAAATCAGGATGATCCGGAGAAAGTAACTGTCGATGAATTGTCAGAGCCTTTTCATAAAACGAAAGTGCTTTCGAGGGATCACCCATTCTGAAATACACATTACCCATGTTGTCGTAAGAAGAAGCAAAGTCAGGATGATTCGTAGGAAGTGAATGTTGTCGAATTGCCAGAGATTTTTCGTAAAATGAAAGTGCTTTCGAATAATCACCTATTGTGCCATACACATTGCTGATGTTGTCGTAGGAAGTCGCTAAATCAGGGTGATTCGCAGGAAGTGATTGTTGTCGAATTACCAGAGATTTTTCGTAAAACGAAAGGGCTTTCAAGTAATCCCCCAGACTGAAATACACTGCACTGATGTTGTTGTAGGAAGCAGCCAAATCAGGATGATTAGAAGGAAGTGATTTTTGTCGAATAATCAAAGATTTTTCGTAAGACGAAATTGCTTTCGAGTAATCCCCCATTCTGACATAGATACTACCGATGTTGTTGTAGGAAGCAGCCAAATTATGATGATTTGGGGTAGTTGAGTTTTCTTCGATGTCGACTGATCTTTTATAAAAGCTGATTGCCTCTTCATATTTTCCTTGACTTTCTTTAGACAATCCAAGTTGATTGTAAATCGGTGCTTTGTTCCATTCATTCGTTGTCTCTTCGAGCATAACTTCAAAAATTTGGTGGAACTTTTCGAATTGAGCCATTTTATAGAGCACTATACCCAATCGGTACCATCCTGTTGAGTATGGACTGCTCTCTTCTCGTATACGATCCGTAAGGACACGAAGATCTTTGTCATCGTCACTGGTGAGTGTCAAGTTCACCTGAAAGAGACGATCATTTTCACGAATAGGTTGGATATCACAGATTCGAAAAACAGTGTGCATCGAGAAGAGAACTTCATCTTCCTCATGGAAATAGCTAGCAGCACTAATAGAAGCAAAGGGTGTTGTTGATTGAGAAGGATCAACACTCATAATAAATAGAATGCCCACCAAATTGGGATCGTTCTGGTTACTTTCGGCGAACAAAAGAGAGACTTCTCGGTTTTTGCTGGTTGATAAAAAGTTATTAAATGAGATGAGCCCACCTTTCGTTTTTGTCATTTCTTCGAAATCAATCTGGGACAAACCTTGGCCACGATAGACACTGAAAGTTGGACCAGCGCGATGTTCATCAAACTGATCGACGTGCAGCTGTTCAATGTGACGATGCAGATCACTGATAAAAAAACCCATCTTGATGATAATATTCACGTCCATGTTTCGAAGTGCACGATTGAGCATAGGATATAAGAACGAAGCATATGTGTACCACCAAATGGGTGTTTCATCACGGTAGGTTCGTTCGAATTTGGTGATGGCATTTAGTTGATGATTATTGTCGGTGAATATATCACGACAATAGTCGAGAAATTGTTTGATATGTTCTTGATCGAATTTAATTGTTAATAAGATTTCTTTCAAGATTTGTGTATACATGAACGAAGGATCCAGTTGGTCTAAACTTTGTTTTGAGACATCATGTCCACTTGTATCCACAAAACTAATGGAGATGGCATTTTGCTCATCTTGTTGTACTATTCGCTCGAGAGCATGACAAATGGACAAGATCTCTGTGAAAACGCCCTTCACTTTAGGCCATTGTTTGACCCATTGTTTATCCTCTGTTTTGTTTCTGTTATAGATCAAAATGGTATGAAGTTGAGGTACATCATGTATTAATGGTACGATAGTGCGACATAATGAATCTGAAATGATAATAAAAACGTTGTCGCAGTCAATATCCGTCAGCGAATCGGCGCATTGATCACGATCGGTGAACGTGTCGATGGTATTAACAATACGGCGTAATTGATTAATCTGATATTGATAACTTTCCTTTTTCTCGTCGATGTTATTATCCAACCAGATGAGAGGGATATCTTGCATCATTTGTACATTGGTTCGTTGAGGCGCAGTTGCATTTTTTGACGAATTGGTTGAAGCTGTTGATTTCGTTTTGGCCATTGCTTACTTTGTGTACGTTGTCAACCTGAATTGATCGAGAAAAATGCTAAAGAGAACACGATCAAACTCGCTTATTCTGTCAACATCGATTTTATTTCTGAAATTTTCTCTCTCGTCATTTTGTTTTTTTTTACTTGTTATTGTAAAACAATGCCTTTTTTCGGTATTGACTATATGTTGCTACGAAAAAAACCAGGTAGATCAACAACGGCATTCATTAGTAACTAACGAAAAACGAAAATATATGATGAACTGTTGATGCAATTGAAAATAGACGAAAGAGTCTTTAAAAAACAATCATTTCCTTTCTTTTTTTTAGTAGGAGAAACAAAGCTTACGTTGGCAAGTTGGAACTATTTATATTACCATACAAAGAATGAATTATATTTGCTAACACCTCTAATTAACCAACAAATGAAGTTTTATAGAATGGTGGGTGTGGGTGTGGGTGTGAGTGGGTGCGTGTGGGTGTGGGTGGGTGTGGGTGTGGGTGGGTGTGGGTATCTAGGTGCGTATGAACTAAAAACACAGCCACAGCCACAGCCACACGCACACCCATACCCGCACTCATTACTATTATCACAAAACAGAGTTCATCATTCTAATGAAATTTTTCTTCTATCCTGATCGACTGATATGGGTAAAAGTACGTCTTTTCCCCCCTCCACTTCTACTTCGTCTCTCATTCACCCAACATCGCAACCAGGTGAATGTGAATTATTTACATCGTTCGTTTTTTTTGGTTATTCATCGCCACAGAACATCACCTTGACGAGAGAGCACTCTATTCTTAATTGAATGAAACAACATCATCTGGTCGACCTATATATTTCGTTTAGTCGACAAACATCAGTTCCCGTTCCTCTTATTGATGCTTTTCTTCCTTCAAAATGGTCGATACAATATTTAATAATAAGAGAAGAAAACTCTTCGAGTCTCGACAAAAATATCTTTCAAGTTTTTCTTACGAGGGAACATATTTAGGTGTTCAAGCCATTTAGACCCCATCTTTTGGCGATAAGTAAACATCGATGAAATATGAAAAAGCTGAAAAGGATTCATTCCCTCATACCTTTGTTTCCGAGATATGACTGTTTTACTGGATGTTCGACTAAGATCACGGTTTTTCGGAAAAAATCAAATGCACTCTATTCAAGACAGAAACAAAAATTATCCGAATCTCAACAACATCAATTTGTCCTTTCGATTGAGAATCGTTGAACTCGATGATTGTAAGAGTCTGCCACATAGACTGTGCCCAACAAATCGACGAACTAGAGGGTGCGTAGGTGGGTGTGGGTGCTGATGAAGACCTAGGTCATACCCGCACCTCACACTCACACCCACACCCTCAAGCAGAGCGACGAGCTCAACAATGTCCTGACCTCTCTGATGAGTAGATGTCTCTCAAATGATATCCTTCAGTTAAAAGAAAATTAATCAATAATCAAGAATATTCTGTTTTTGAGATTATAATATTCTTTAAAATTTAAAATATAATCCGGATGTCATCTACATGATTATTATGTATTAATAATAATGTAAAAGCCATAATTTTCTCGTATACGATCAATTTTTTTCATTATCAAGTAAAGGAAAAATTGTCTGAAAGAGTCTTTTATTGTCTAACGGTTAGTTAGATAATTTTTGAAAAATGATTAAACTATAAATAAAATGATATCGTTGATTCGATTTTACTTAAAGAGAGAAATATCTTTCAAACGATAAATGTAAAATTTTTTTAGAAAATAAGCCAATATCTCTTTAGATCTTTGATAAAGTTTTGTTTTCATTTATAATATTTAAATGTAATTATGATTTATATCATCTATAGATTGATATATAGTGATCAAGCTTTTTACTTTAAAATCTAATCACTTATTCAAAATTACGTATGTATATATGTTTTTAATCTCTACAGAAAATAATAGGTTATAACAATTTCTTTAAAATTTGCTTGACATACTCATTTGTAATTAGTTTTTTACAATTGAACTTAATTTAAATTAATATTCAATGATACGCTATATTAAACTGAATATATAATAAATATGAAAAATGTTTTTTTGTTAAAGCAAACAAAAAGAAAAAAAATCTAATTGATAATTATAGATAGAGAATACCATCGATTTTTCAAAAATTATATAGTATAGCAATTTTTTGAATTGTAAATAAATAACATTAGTCATGCATTTTAAATATTTAAGCAAAGATCGAGAACGCTGTGATAAGAAAACCTTCGGATATCTTAATAAGTAAAATATGAAAATCTGTGAATGATGTCATTGTATTGTATGTAAATAGTCTATTTCAAATCAGAATTCTCACCCATTGAACGAGAAAAATAAATCAATATGCATGTTCTTCTGATAATAAATACTTAGCATCGACTTTTTTATTATTTTTGATGATCACAAAAATATATATTTTTAGAAAAATAACTTTATATTCTGATAACACTTAACATCTATATTTTGTAACTTTTATCTGACAATTGTATATCGATAAATGTTTTGAATATTATTATGATATCTACATTGAAACAAAAAAAATGCTATTTCTTCATCTTTTCAAGTTCATTTATACATTACTTACTTCAAATTTGATGTTAATAATTTTTATCTCGCAGAAAACACAACACTGTCCATCGAAAATGTTAAAAACATATAACTTCTTCAAGTTATTTCAACTAGTCAGATTATTTTACAAAAAACTCACTTTATTCCTTCATTTTTTTAAATAATCTTACTCAAGTATAGTATAATAAAAGATATATGCTAATAAACTTTTTTTTTTCTTTTGAATATCTTCGATCTTTTACAGGATTATTTCAGATGAATAATTGATCTTACTTGTCTAGAATTCCAACGCTACTAAACTTCGAAGTTTTGAAACATTGATTGAATTAAATTTACAGCTATCAAATAGTTTTTTCATTTTATTTTCATTAAAAATAAACAATATCTTTGTAACAGATAAACCTATAGGTGCTCGTGAAAGAAAACAAACCTTACCTTGTCTTTCGTGACGGATGAAAAAACGTAAAAAGATAATAGAATGCAGAAAAAAGAACATAACTCATAAAACAGAACTAACGAAAGAAAAAGGTATACTCCCTCAATGTTTTACATAATGAATGATCTTGTATTTACAATAGACAAATATGAATCATTGATGGAATCAGTATAAGTCTTATTGAGAACGCTTGTAAACAAAGATTCACCATTTTTTTTTCTTATATACCAAAAGATAGAGCATTAAAAAATTGAACAAAATGAGGCATTTAATTATCCGAATATGAAAAATTAACATAACATTTAGCAATATTGTTTTTGCTCATTAATTAACTTAAACTGGTGTTTGAGATCGATTCTTGAGATAAACTGCAATTTTCGGTCGTTTTTCAACTTCTTCATGGTTATGTTTCAACCATGAATATTTAACAAGAATCTGATCATCGTGGGTGTGAGGGTGTGGGTGTGGGTGTAGGGTGTGGGCGAGTGTGGGTGGGTGTGGGTGTGGATCTGGAGAAAGATAGTACCCCACCCACACCAACACCCACACCCACCCACCCCACACCCACACCCACCCACCCCACACCCACACCCACACCCACACCTACCCACACCCACACCCAGCCACGACCCATATAGGTCTCTGTGTACACCATTATTCCTACTCAGTGCTACACAGTAGCTCAAGCTTCTCACATACTTCTTGTAGCATTCCAGATAATGTCTGAAGCATCTCAACCAAAACCTGTAGCATCTTAGATGATGCTTGTAGCATCCTAGGTGATACTTGCAGCATCATAGGTGGTGCCCGTAGTACCATCGATGATGCCTATAGCATCCTAGGAAATGCTTGTACCATCATAGGTAATGCTTGTGGCATCATAGGTAATGCTTGTGGCATTCTAGGGGATGCCGGTAGCATCCAAGAGAATACCTACCGATGTTAGATGATTCTAGTGGTATTCCAGGCGTTGACTAATTGAGTACTTGAATACTTGCATAGTTAAATACTTGAATAGTTGAATAGTGGAATAGTTGAATAGTGGAATAGTTGAATAGTGGAATAGTTGAATACTTGAATACTTGCATAGTTAAATACTTGAATAGTTGAATACTTGAATTCAATTTTCAAGTTTGACACTACTGATCAATAACAAACATTTTTATAATTTTGTTCGTCATAGAACGTAATTTTATATATGTCTTTGGAAAATAAATGATTAATTTTTCAACTAGTTATTTTCACTAGTGACAGTCTGAATGACCGAAATCTTGACTACGCAAATTGCTCATGAATCATTCATTATGTTTTTAAATTTAACTTCCAAAAATAGGAATCAAGTCAATGAATTAAATACTATTTCATTTAAATAAGACAATAATAAATTTAAATTAGCACACTCGTCTTTTCAAATAATAATTCGTATTCCATTTTGTTCATAAAAAAATAAAATAAACATATGGAAGATGAATAAGATAAAAACTATGTAAAGTTGGTTATAAATTTTATTTCAACGGATAAATATAATTCAATTCTATTTATTAGATAGCTGGTTTAATACTTAAAAAAAACAAATGAGCTTGTGTTGAAAGTTTCTTTTTTTGTTGAATTCTGTTCTTTTAATAAGTACCTTAGTAACAAATGTGAATCATTGAGACACAATGGAATTGAATCAAGGGGGAAACAGCAGAGACTTCAGTCATGAAGTCCCATGAAATCTTGAAAGTCTTTCGAAGTCTTCTGAAGTCTCTTTGAAGTCTTATGAATTCTCATGAATTCTCATAAAGTCTCTTGAAGTCTCTGAAGTCTCATAAAGTCTTCTGAAGTCTCATAAAGTCTTATGAAGTCTTATAAAGTCTCATGAAGTCTAATGAAGTCTCATGAAGTCTAATGAAGTCTC